TTTTCGAAACCTGAAGCAAATTTGCTTCGAGTTTTGAATTTTCGAAACTTGAAGCAAATTTGCTTCAAGTTTTCCAAATTTTTGATTTCGAAGCAGTTTTGCTTCAACTTTTATAAAATTTTGTTTTTAGTGGATCAAAGTGGAAGGATGAGTCCGAATGAAAGAAACACGAGGGCCGAAGGCCCGAAAAACTCTAAGAGGAAGGATGAGTCCGAATTGACTCTAAGTGAAAGGATGAGTCCGAATAAAAGAAAGACAAGGGTCTAAGTCGAAGGATGAGTCCGAAGTGACTCTAAGTGAAAGGATGAGTCCGAATAAAAGAAAGACAAGGGTCTATGTGGAAGGATGAGTCCGAAGTGACTCTAAGTGAAAGGATGAGTCCGAATAAAGGAAAGACAAGGGTCTATGTGGAAGGATGAGTGCGAAGTGACTCTAAGTGAAAGGATGAGTCCGAATAAAGGAAAGACAAGGGTCTAAGTGGAAGGATGAGTCCGAAGTGACTCTAAGTGAAGGATGAGTCCGAATAAAAGAAAGACAAGGGTCTATGTGGAAGGATGAGTCCGAAGTGACTCTAAGTGAAAGGATGAGTCCGAATTAAAGAAAGACAAGGGTCTATGTGGAAGGATGATCTACTTGAAAGGATGATAGGGGCCAGGCATAGGGGCCAGGCATGCAACTTAATCGTTATAGGAATAGGGGCCCGAGCTGACACCCATCTAAAAGGTAGGGCGAGGGCCGAAGGCCCGAGCTGACATCCATCTAAAAGGGAGGGCGAGGGCCGAAGGCCCGAGCTGACACACATCTAAATGGAAGGGCGAGGGCCGAAGGCCCGAGCTGACACCCATCTAAAAAAAGGGCGAGGGCCGAAGGCCCGAGCTGACACCCATCTAAAAGGTAGGGCGAGGGCCGAAGGCCCGAGCTGACATCCATCTAAAAGGGAGGGCGAGGGCCGAAGGCCCGAGCTGACACACATCTAAATGGAAGGGCGAGGGCCGAAGGCCCGAGCTGACACCCATCTAAAAAAAGGGCGAGGGCCGAAGGCCCGAGCTGACAACCATCTAAAAGGGAGGGCGAGGGCCGAAGGCCCGAGCTGACACCCATCTAAAAGGGAGGGCGAGGGCCGAAGGCCCGAGCTGACACCCATCTAAAAGGGAGGGCGAGGGCCGAAGGCCCGAGCTGACACCCATCTAAAAGGAAGGGCGAGGGCCGAAGGCCCGAGCTGACACCCATCTAAAAGGGAGGGCGAGGGCCGAAGGCCCGAGCTGACACACATCTAAATGGAAGGGCGAGGGCCGAAGGCCCGAGCTGACACCCATCTAAAAAAGAGGGCGAGGGCCGAAGGCCCGAGCTGACAACCATCTAAAAGGGAGGGCGAGGGCCGAAGGCCCGAGCTGACACACATCTAAAAGGAAGGGAGAGGGCGAGGGCCGAAGGCCCGAAGTGACTCTAAGTGAAAGGATGAGTCCAAACAGAGGGAACACGAGGGCCGAAGGCCCGAAGTGACTCAAAGTGGAAGGATGAGTCCAATCGAGGGGTAGACGAGGGCCGAAGACCCGAAGTGACTCTAAGTGGAAGGATGAGTCCAATTGAGGTGAAGACGAGGGCCGAAGGCCCGAAGTGACTCTAAGTCGAAGGATGAGTCCCAATGAAGGCAATCTTTTGTTCCAGGCATAAAAAATCGCTAGCGGCGCGCGAAGCGCGCCCCCAAAGCCGTTAGGCTTTCCAACGGGCAGAAGTTTCGTAATTTAAAGAACCCCCCGGTGTATTTTACCGCCACAGTGTCCTGATATCCACCCCAGTGGCCAAACCCATCACTAGTTTTTTAATAATAAATTACAAATAAACTTTTAAAAGCATTTTTGTGTGGGTGAGGAGAAAAGCTGTAAAGTGTTTGATTGATAAAAGGGGAAGAAAAGGAAAGAAAAAAAAAAGATTTTTATCAATTTTAAAAGGAATTAAAAAAATATTTTTTCACACACTTTACTAATAATTTCAAATACTTCCCCTTTAATTAGAAAAGAATTTTTTTCCATAAAATTTAAAAATTATTTATTAATTTTTTACTTCCTTTTAAATTTTGTTATAAAATTTTATTTATTAAAAATAAATGAATTTCCTAATTTAAAGTTTAAAAAAATTGTTGAAATAATATTTTTAAAACAAATTTTAATTAAGTCGATAGTACCAGAGGGTTATGCTCCGCTTTCCAGTCAATTCTTTTCTTATATTATTTCAGAGGTAAGTGTAGGAAATACCGTATTTTCTCTATTAAAATGCCATGGCATTCTATTTTTCAATCACCTTCAAAGGTGGCATTTTATTAGAGGGTGGCATTCTAAGAGGAAATACATACAGTATGTAGTTTAAATTTTGGAATAAGAAAATTTTTGGAAATTTTGAAAAAATAAAAGTACTAAACGAAACCTAGGAATCCTTATCCAGTTCTGATATTTAATTAATGAAAAATTAAAATACTATTCTCTAAAATATTCTTTTTCATTGCTTTAAAAAACTTTTCCTTTAATTTTATTATTTATTTCATTCAATTCTTGTAACTTTTCTTCACCTATTTTTTAAAGTAACTAAATTTTTAAAAATAATTGTTTAAATTAATTTTAAAATTAAATTTTTAAAAAATTGTTTGTTTCAACTAAATAAAAGATTATTATCAACAAAATTTATTTACTTTTATTTTCAATTTTTATTATAGACAAATACTTATATTTAAGTAATAAAAAATATTTTTGTGTGTGACATTTATTAATGACTTTTTTAAATACTTTTAAAATCTTTTTTTTATATTTTGGGGTGGGCCAATTTTTTAATTTTAAAAAAATATTTAGAAGAATTAAATATTTATTTTTATGGAATTTTCATCATTGTAAAGTCCGTTAAGAAATTATAAGAGCAAACATTTTTTTGGTGTTACTCTTTTTTCTATGTTCAATCGTATCAAAATTTTTTCTAATATTCTAAATATTCTAGAAATATTAGGATTGTGGGAGTTTAAAATAGGTAGTTTCACTTAAATTTAAAATTTTCATGAATTTTTTTCAAAAATGGGATGTTAAGAAATTAATGAATCAAGAAAAAACGAAGTCATTTAAAACAAAATGTCACCCAAAAAATTTTAAAAAATAATTTTTTACTAAATTTGTGAGTTTGGCAAAATCTAGGTCAATAAAAAATTTTTTTAAATAAATTCCCTCAATATTTACACATTTTATCAAATTAGCATTTTAGCAACTTTTCCTTACCTATTGACAATTAAAAATTAAATTTTATTCTTTCTTAAATTAAAAGAAATTTTGTTTCTTTAATTTTAAATTTTTTTATAAAATATTTTTTTCTAATTTTTCCTCCCTCTCGCGTTCCACCCACTTAAATATTAAATATATTTATTGTTTAGTTAATTCATCGTTTTTGGTCTCGCCATTATTGGTCGATTGGAATGAATAAAAAATTTTAAAAAAAAATTAGGGAGCATTTAAAAATAATTTTTGGAGAGATTAAATACTTAAATAGGTATACATTCTTGTAAATAATATTTAAATAAAAAAATATTTTTTTAACAAATTTATATAAATATCAATTGTTTACCCTTAACAATAAGGGAGGGGGGAAGGAAGGGAGAGGGAAGGGGAGAGGAGAATAGGGAAGGGGAAAATCTTTGTAATAAGGGGAAGTTTTTTAAAGAAATATGGGGGTGATCACTAAGAAAAAAAGGAAGAATAAAAGGTCTCGTTTAAAGAAAAAAATTCTTTGATGCCCTTGAACCATGGGAAAAATGAAAAATTTAAGAGAAAATTTAAAGTACTTTCTGCTTGATATTTTATTAACTAAAAAATTATTTATTTTATCCAAAAATAGAATTAATGATAAGATTATCAGTGTTAATTTTTGATAAATAAATTGCTTTCTTTCCCATCTGATTTAAAAGAATTTTAGGAATTTTTGTTACGTCTATGAATAATTTTTCCTTCCTTTTAATTTAAAAATAATTAATTAATTATTCATTTGGCATTATGTCTAATTAAATTTTCTGAGCCACCTAATCAGGCGCGCGGCCATAACGGCGCAAAGCCATAACTAGCTGGAAAATTTCTGACCTTTGTTAATTTTGGTACCATTTCTTTATCTCGATGAGAGGAATCGTTTAATACTAAATTTGTCAAGATTCAGAAATTTTGAAGCAAGTTATGGCTTTGCGCCTTTTCGGCCCGCGCCTTTTCGGGCATGTCCCCATATTTTCTGTTTGGGTTAGAGAAACAGATTTTTATTAATTTGTTAGAGAATTTTAAGTACTTTTTGTTATTTTTAGACGTTTTTATTTTTTATTTTTATTGATGGAATGACGTTCTATTTAATTATGAAAGCTTTTTCTTTTCGTTTTTTAATTGGGTGATATCACATTTAATTTAAAGTGATTCAATTTAAATTTAATTTTTTTTTAAATACTTAAATAGGGTACAGCCGATTAGGCGCGCTGCCATAACGGCGCAAAGTCATAACTTGCTTCTAAATTTCCGAATCTTACCAAATTTAGTATTAAACGATTCCTCTCATCGAGCTAAAGAGATTGGTACCAAAATTGATAAGGGCCAGAAATTTTCCAGCAAGTCATGGCTTTGCGCCGTTATGGCTGCGCGCCTACTTGGGCATGTCCCTTTTAAAGAGTACTTGAATGACAAAAAAGTTGTTTTTTTTCAGGTTCAATAAAAATTTTAAAAGAAAATATTTAAAAGAAAATAATAGATCTCTTTAAAAAAGAAGAAGATCTTTAATTTTACCTCCATTGAATGGTGGAGACTCTTTCTGACAAAAATTCTTCAAATTTTGCGGATATAGTACCAACGCCGCCTTTTGGAGGAATTCTTATTCATCCTGGTTTGGATCCTCCAGGTTAATAAATACACAATTTTGAGAGGTTTTTTTTAATTTTTTATTAAGTTTATTTAAATTATTTTTAGTTTTTCTTCACAATTTTAATTTCTTAAAAAATGTCTTTTGAGAAGAAAAGAAATACCAACAATTCCCCTCTGTCCGATTTGTTAAAACACAGCAAATTGACGTTATCTGAACAGCTTTCTTGGACTATCCTGTGGAATAGAGCGGATATTGCACGTTCGGAAATTTTTACTGGACAGGTAAAGTTGTTTGTTGATTTGGTGATTTTTAGAGTTTAGGATTTTCTTGTTTGAAATTAGGTATTTTTGATTTTAAGATAATCATAAATTTTATTTTTTGACATGAAAACATTTAGTTTGAGTTTTAATATTTTTAGATGTCCATGTCAGCTTGAATAAAATTTGGGAGGGTTTCTTGTTCACTTTTTTACTCCACCCTCTTAAAAAATTCCCCCTTTCTATTAAGAAATTTTTAGTCTATTGTTTTTGTCAAAAATTATTTTTTTAAAGTTATTACCAAAAAGTATTTTACACAATGCAATGATGGAATCACTTATTCACAACCGTGTTGATTTTGTCCGACTATTGCTTGAAAATGGTGTCAATATGGACGAATTTCTTACAATTGCTAGATTAGAAGAATTATATAATACTGATCAAGGACCTCCAAATACTCTTTAGTTTGTTTTTAAATGTTTTTTGAAAAATATTTATAAGAGTAACTTTTTATATTTTTTTACTGGAGTCCAAGGGCGTACACAGAGGTTCAATTTCAGGGTGGGCCAGAATTTTGTGCGTTTACTTTAGCGTTTCGAACGCAAATTTTCTTAAAATTTTTTAATTTTGGAGGTAGTAAGCGAAAAAATTTCGCTTTTTTGATCATCCTTCTCCCAATATTTTTCCTTTCCTCATTTCGGGGAGGGCTATAGCCCACACATTAAAATGCTGTTGGGTTGCGAATTTAACTAAAACTTGAAACCGAAAACCTTATTTTTAAAATTTTGATTAATCAAAAACCGAGGGAATAACCTTAATTTTAGTTATATTGTTCGTGACGTTGTTAAAATCCGTGCTGGTTACCGCTATAAATTACCACACATTGGAATGGCTGTAGAAAAATTAATGGCTAATGGATTTCGTTCACATTACACATCTTCACATTTTCGTCAAAAATACAACGAATATAGAAGTAAATTAAAAGTTAGTTTTTCTTTAATTATTTTTAATTTATTAAATGCCTAGGGCTTCTTATTTTATTTTTACAAAGCAAAAATTTAATTTTTTGTTTAAATTTTAGACAAAAATTCCTTTAAAAATTCTACTTTTTCTGACATTCTTTAATGCTTTTTCGATTCTTCTAATTCTTTAATGCGTTTCTGGCATTTCTCCAACCTTGTTTTTAATTCCAATATAGCATTAGCCTGGAAACTTTTTTATAAAAAATTTCTAGAAATTTTTTCTTAACCAACCTGCATTATTATATGATTTTTTGCCAATAACAAAGTAGCGATTTTTGATAATTTTCTAATATTCCCTCCTTGGGCGTAAGGAATAGAAGCACGTAAATCGTCCAAAGCAGCATTTAAGTCATGCATTCGACATCTTTCTCTATAATTTATTGTATTTCGGTGGGTTAAGGATGTTGGAGTTTTGTTGTTTGTGTTGATTTTTGACATTTTTAAGTAGCTGAGATTTTGAGATGAGACTTTTTAAAGAAATTTTTTAATGATATTTTTGATTTTTCTAAATTTATTTTTATAAGGATAGACCAAAAATATTTTTGGAAAGTTTAGTTTTAATAATTCCCCCTTCCTAAAATCCTAATTTTTAAATATATGGAGACATGCTTTCTGTACTACATATGACTCGAATTTTTTTAATTCCTATGAAGACCCCAATTTTTGGAATAAGTTAAAATGTGACTTTTGTTGAGGTCAGGTTTTGGATGAAAACCCTAGATTTTATCAACTAGTTTTAGAGGATTTGACTAAAATTTACAATTTTTTGCTGGGTGACATTTACTGGAAAAGATTTTTAAAAAATAATGTAAAGGGATGTGTGCCATTCTTTTACCCGCACTGATGCCACAATATTCGCATGCGCATTTCCTAAGAGAATAAAAAGCAAAAAGACAGGGTTATTGTTGATGACTGTCGCAAATGAATTAGCATAATAATTATTTTTAAAAGTGAAAATAATATTTGAATAATTATTAAGTGATATTTAGTAGAGGGAAAATAAATTTAGAATGGAAAAAAATCCACAGGGTGTTAGAAATGCACAGAAGTCTTTTTTGAACAATTAACGAATTTTTTCTTATTTTTGTCATGAGGGGGTATTTTCCCTCTCTGTCTCTTATAATTCTTTATTCTCACGAGCAACCCCTATCTTTCTCTAAAACGGAATTTTAAAACCTTTATTTTAAAATTATGAATTTAAATTTCCAGGAATATCAACGTCTTCATTCAATAAGTGAACATCAAAAAGATCTCACCCAACGCAGTTCCCCTCCAACATCTTATCCTCGTTGTGGTTCAGAATTTTTTGCTCGGGCATCAGCTAGAGGATTCCCAACTTCTGCTTCGGATACAAGATTGTCTGGTAAAATAAATCATCAACAAGTAAATCAACTTCCATCAATTCCCAAAAATAAAAATGTAAAATTAGAGTTTAGACTTCCCAAAAAATGATTTATTTTTTAAGCAAAATGTTTTGGATACTCGAACAAATCAAAACATTGGAAGCCCTCCAACAACTGACAGATCAACAAATAAAGCTACTTTAAATTACACACAAATTCCAGCTGTTTGTGGAAGTCGTACTTTAAGTAGCCATATTTTATGGAGAAGTGCTTGTCGTCGAGATAATGTCAGTCATCTTCCAACAGCTCCACAACAAGTAGCAAATAGTTCAAAACAACAACCATTTAATAGAACAAATCAACAATTTACTGGTTTTCCTGATGGCAATAATTCTTTTGATGCTGATGAATTTTTGGATGTGAGGGATGAAACCCACACGAGAGACTTTCGTTACCCTTTTTCTGATCTTTTAATTTGGGCTGTTTTAACAAAAAGACACGATATGGCTATTTGTATGTGGCAACATGGACAGGAGGCTTTAGCTAAAGCTTTGGTAACGTGTCGTTTATATAAAAGTTTGGCTAAAGAAGCGGCGGAAGATTATTTGGAATTGGAAGTTTGTGAAGAATTGAAGAAATGTGCAGAAGAATTTAGACAATTATCTCTTGATTTACTTGATCATTGTTATAAAGAAGATGATGCTCAAACTTTACAATTATTAACATATGAATTAGCTTATTGGGGAAGAGAAACGTGCCTTTCACTTGCTGTTTTGGTTAACAACAAACAATTTTTGGCTCATCCTTGGTAAGAGACTTGGAATATTAACTAGGAAAGGTTGCGAGGTGTCTGACCTAAAAACGGTCGAGACCGGGCTCATTCGATAGAGATCTGCCCTTTCTAGCAAGGATTTTGAGCCAGTTTTGCCCGTTTTTTGATCTGGCCAAGATATGGCCCTCCAAAGTCCCAAAGATTAATTCTTGTTAATTTTTTCTAACCAAGTTACAACAAAATTTTTGTTAGACTCTTGTTAATTTAGAAAATACCTATGTTAGAAATCAAAAAATGGGTGAATTTGGATTTTACTGACCCCTAGAAAAAAGATTGTCTGTAGCATTGAGAGTATTTTTCTGGCCCTTATCTAGTCCGATCTTTATTTCAAAACTAATTGTAATTAGAAATTTTTATTTAAATTTTATTAAGATTTTTTATTCAATTTTTATTTTATTTAGTTGTCAAATTTTGCTGGCTGATTTATGGCATGGTGGTTTGCGTATTAGAAGGTAAACACTTTTCGGTTTAAAAAATTAACTTGAATATTTTTAGCAATTCAAATTTAAAAGTGATTCTTGGTATAATTTTTCCACCATCTATTTTTCTACTTGAGTAAGTCTTATATGAAAACTTTTGCTTTCTAATATTTATTTTTAGGTTTAAATCTCGTGAGGAATTAATGCTTCAACCTCAAACGGCTGCAGAACATCAAGAAGATATTAATGATTCTTCCTCTTCGTCATCAGATTCTTCTGTTTCTTCGCCCTCTTCTTCACCGTCAGAAAGCGAAAATGAAGATGCGGATTCTGATTATGATTTATCTGAGAAGACTGGTGGAGCTTCTTTGAGTGATAGACGACGAAGAGTTTCTTCTCGAGGGAGTATGCAATCATTAAATTTTACATCGGTTAGTTTTTTTCGAAGATTTTCCCCAAATATTTATATTTTTAGATTTTTCAAAGCAAGAGGCGAAGTAAGCGTTCTTCCCATATAAATGCCTCAAATAGCCTCAATACTCAAGATTTGGAGCTTGGGAAAGTTTCAAATCAAGGTTAGTTTTTCTCAACAGCTTTGCTGTGAGCTTTCTTTAAACCTGTCCTCAGAATGCCGAAATCTTTTAGACGAACCTTCTGTTGGACGGAGCCGTTCAAATGTGCGAGAATTGCGAAGGCCCAAAACGAAAACCAGAGCTGAACGACAGAGGAGAATAAATGCTAGTAATGCAACTACGGTTGGTGGTCAATCAATAATTGAAACAGGAGGAGGAGATACATCACCATCAGATTGTAAGAATTTTTGAGAAGGCCCTTAGCTCTGTCGCTTATTAAATTATAAAATACTGTTTGGGTTCATGCCAAATAGGTCAGAATTCTCAATGTTTATTCATGGACACAAGGCCCTTTTTCTTTTATTCATTTTTAAATAAGATTTTCAATTTTATTCAATTTTCAGTAAAATAAAATTTATAGATTCCCTTTCCAATCAAATTTCAAAGCCATCACTTCCTCTTAAATCTTCATTAAAACTTCCAACAACAGTAACACCTTTACATATAGACGTTAATGCTTACCATCATCCTCAATTTTTGTTGGGAAATGACGATATTGTTACGAGTGGAAAAGAGGAAGAGAAGGATTCTAATTCGATTCAAAGAAATTCTACTTCTACAATTTCCGATGAAGTTGTTAAATTATCTGTGGATAAAGAACAAGGTTTTTATAATATTTTTATTGGGGATTTGGGTAGTTTTTGTAAAATCTCGAATTCCATGAGTTACTCTGAAAATCTACTCAAAGATGGGTAGTTGTAGGACATCTTTGACTTCTCAATTCTTCCAACCGATTTTTTGTTAATTTATTAATAAATTTAGATATTCCTTCACCTGATCAAAACCCTTCAGATAGACCTTTTATTCATCAAACAAAATCATTTCCCTTCAACAACCGCTGGAAATTTGTAAAGAACATTGGAGCTGGAATTGCTACAAACGATAAACCAAAAACAATGGAACATCCTAATAGCAGGTTAACAATTAGTGGAGGACATGTACCAAAAGGAATTCCTTTGCCAGAGGGAGTGACGTTAAATAAAAAGGTTTTTCTTTCTTTTATTTTTCTAAATGATTTTTCTTCTCACAATCAGCGTCAAATAAAATTTCGTCGCAAAGTTTATGAATTTTTTGTTGCTCCAATAACAACTTTTTGGGCTTGGATGCTTAGTTTTGTTGTGTTTTTATCCACCCTTACATATGTTTTGCTTATTCGAACTCCACTTAAACCAACATTTTTGGAATGGTATTTACTTGCTTATGTTGTTGGTTTTGGGATTGAGACTGTTAGAAAGGTTTAAATTTTTTTAGAAATTTTTTTAAAAACAAAAATTTTTAGTTTGCCATGTCTGAACCAAAAAAATTCTCAGAAAAAATCCAGTACTTTTTTGGTAATTATTGGAATTTTCTTACAACAGTTGCTATTCTTGGTTTTGTTGTTGGTTTTATATTTCGTTTGAATCCGTCAACAAGGTTTTTTTTTTAATTTTTGGATTAGTAGAAATTTTTTTTAAATATTTTAGTAGAAGTGTCGGACGAATAATTTTAGCTGTTGATTCTGTTCTTTGGACAATTAAATTGCTCGACTTTTTGGGAGTCTTTCCACGTTTTGGACCTTATATTACAATGGCTGGGAAAATGGTTTGAAAGATTTTTTATTCAATTATTTTTCATCTTTTCTTAAGATTATGAATATGAGCTCAATTGTTGTTATGTTGGGAATTTCTTTATTAGGATTTGGTTTGGCACGTCAATCAATTACATATCCAAATGAAGATTGGCATTGGTTATTGCTAAGAAATGTTTTTTATAAACCTTATTTTATGTTATATGGAGAAGTTTATGCTGATGAAATTGATACTTGTGGAGATGAAGGTTTTTTTAATTTAAAATTTTTTTAAAATAGTTGGATATTTTAAACCTATATTTAATCCGTATTCTAAACACAAGTCTCAATTTTTCCAAAAATCTTTTTCAAAATTTGGGTTGACCTCTTTATTATTTTTTAAATAAATTATTTTTATTTTTTTTAGCATGGGACGAACATCTTGACAAAAACATTTCTATATCTACAGCATGGACTCATCGTGATAATAGAGACAAAGAACTTGCTTGTGTTCCTGGCCATTGGATTCCTCCAATTTTAATGACTGTATTTCTTTTAATTGCAAATATTTTATTAATTAGTATGTTAATTGCTATTTTTAACAACATTTTTGATTCAACAATAAAAATATCTCAACAAATTTGGCTCTTTCAAAGATATCGTCAAGTAATGGAATATGAAGCAACACCTTTTCTTCCACCTCCATTTACCCCAATTTATCATATTTATATGATTTATAAATATTTAAATTATCGAAATGGATCTTTTTGTATTTGTTTTGCATTTTTAACGAGACAATTGAACAACAGAAAATTTTTTAAACGAAGAAAAGATATTTTGGAAGAAGAACCAAAGGAAGAAAAATTGGAAGAAAAACAACAACAATCAAATAAAAATGATGAAATTAATAATAAAATACCTCCACTTGCTAAAAATGCTTTTGAACAAAGACAAAATCTTCAAGAAAGAGCCAGAAATTATAATAAACAAGAACAATTTGCTCTTTTTGATTTTTCTTTGAGTGAGTTTTTTTTAAATTTAATTTTTTAAATTTAATGTTGGGAGGGATTGGAATGGGCAGGTCCGTAGCCAGGATTTTTTTTCGGGGGGGGGGGGGGGGTTTCTTCCTTTTTTAGCGCCGCAGGCGAAAATTTTTTAAATTTCAGAGGCCGTAGGCCAAAAAAATTCACTTTTTTTGCCCCAGCCCTTCCCCAAATTTTTTCCTTTTTCCCATTTCGGGGGGGGGGGGGGAATTCCCCCCTCACCCCCCCCCCCCCCGGCTACGGGCCTGGGAATGGGGATATTATTTTGGTGCTCTCCCTTGGAAATTTTAGGGAAGGAAATCTGTTAAATTAATTTCCCTTCTCATCGAGGAATTCCGTTGAACAATTTGTTTACTAAAATTAATTTTTTTAGAACTTTTTCTGACTGACGAACAAGTCGAAAAAATTCATGAATTCGAAGCTGAATGTATGGAAAATTTAGCTCGTGAAAAAGAACTTGCAAGAAATCGTTCTAATGAAGAAAGGCTAAACAGGACTTGTGAAAGGTAGAAAATTAATTTAATAAAATTTATTTTTAAATAAATTGCGAGTGATTGAGAAATGGAAGTTGAGAAAAAAAATTTTCTGTGACAGTAATTAATTTGTATATGTCCATTCTGACGCTTTTTTGTCTTCAAAAAATTTTTATTTAAATTATAAATATTTTTTCAAAAATTTTGTCAGAACGGAGGCAATTTTGCGTCGTATGGATGATTTAGTTTCAAGAGAAACAATTCAGAAGAATGTAAATACTCTCGAAAATAAAGTGGAAATAATTCAAAATACACAGGTAAATTAAAAGAATATTTTTAAGTAGACTTTGAAAAAGCATTTGTGGTTAAGTGGTTAACGGTCTTGCGTTTAGAATACTTTTAGCACATTCACGGAGAGTTTTTTCCTTGTTCATTTTGCCTGGGAAATCTCATAATGTTTGTGCAAAATTGAAAGAACTTGGTGTGTTACTTGCTACGATTTATTATAATCTAAGCGAGTGTCAAACATTTTCTACAAGAAAATTTGTTTTTTAAAATCTTTTAATAATTTTTTTTTCTTTTTTTAGTCACAAATTCTCGAGTGTCTTCAACAAATAAACTCGGTGATACCAGCTTTGACCCAGTCTTTACAGATGCTTAACTCTTTCCCAGTACAACAATCTAATAATACAGAACAACAATCTCCAATTCCTTTAATCCGGTCATCTCTAAATAATAAAGACAGCTATTAAAAAATAAGGAGAGAGAATTTTTGTTTTAATTTGCATTTAAGGCTGTCTAAAAAATATTTTTTGTTTAATTAATTAATTTTCCTATCAACGTTTTAATTCAAGCATTTTTAAGAATTTTTTAGTCAAGTAAAAACAATAATGCTTTTCTTTTTTTTTGTTTCTTAAATCATGACATTTAATACTTTTATTTTTAAAATCTGTTCTTTCTTTGACTTTATTCTAATAATTCAACACAATTTCTGGACCTTTATTTACTCTAATAGATCTGACAAAAGGTTGTTTTCACCTTTAATTCTGTATATCCCGGCCCCGTGAATTCTTAAATTTTTGTAATTCCTGTGTTGAATTATATAATAAAGACAGCTATTAAAAAACATGCAATTGCATTTCTTCCTCTTTCGCATTCCTAATTTTTGATAAAATTTTCTAATACTTTTTTGTAAAGGAATAAACGTGTAAATAATCTTGTTGGTAAAAATACTAAATGGGCAGATCTGTTTAACAAAAATCTAACCAATTTAAATCTAATTTCCAACTAATTCATTTTAAAAGTTTTTTAAAGAGAATTAGAAAATTAAAACAGGATTTAAAAAGGAATGGATAAATAATTCAATTGAGACTGAATGAAAAGAGAAAAATCAGTGAAAAGATCGGAGAACGACCTAAACCTAATCCCAGATTGAGCTCGATTTGGTCAATGTAAAGTTAAAATTGTCAAAACGGTGGAAAAGTAGCAGGGTTGCGTCGTAATCGAGAATTTTTTCCGTAATCGTAATTCGTAACTCAAAGAATGCCGTAATTTGAAATCGTAATTACGACGCAACTGAAGAGTAGCACGATAAGAATTCTTCCTTTTTCAATGGACATAAATGTCACAATAATAGAAAGTTAGGCATCCCAATCCGTTGATACCGGCAAATTACTAGTTGCTTCAATTCACAAGAAAATTTAAAAAATAAGGGTTAAAACCGCTTAAAAGAAGCCATGTTTTGGAATAAAATCAGAACGGTGAAACCTCTACTAAAGGTTAACTTCAAGATTTATTAAACGAGACAGGTCTGCTACAAAATGGACCGCGAAAAAGTGGCCGGTAAATAATGCATGTAATTTAAAAATTTTGGTTCACTTACCGAAATGAAGAAAAACCACTTTGACATTTCTTTAAAAATTTATGCTTTAAATTCTTAACAAAAATGTTTTTTGATTTTCGTCCTTTTTTTTAATCATCATGTTAATTAAGTATAGCACAGAATAATTTTTTCGTCTTCACTCTCACTACTCACTGATTCTTATGTGGTCCACTTCCTCAAATTTTCCCTCCTCCCTTTGTTTCTGAGCCATGTTGTTTTTAATGTGCTTTGATAACGTCTATTTTCCCAAGAAACTTGGTTTTGAGAATATAACTTAGTTGTTTGAATTTAAATATGATCATGAATCTTTACAAGAATTTTGAATAACTTAAACCGGAAAAATTTCGGAAAACGAACAGAGCGCAAATGGGTCAAATCATATGTCATTCGAAAGAGCTAGTCTAGTTGAGTCGAATGGTGAAAAAATTTTCGTGCGGACTCATAGAGGGGCTGAGATATAGGCCCCCGAAAATCGAAAATCCATAGGGGGGACCAAGCACTTTTTTTGGGGTGAAAAATTCGAAAATGCAAATAATAGCTTATTCGAAAGAGCTCGTCGAGCTGAGTTGAATGACACCAAAATCAACTCGAAATCCTGATTTTGAGCCGAGATAGAGGCCCAAAATGTTCAACGTAAATCTATGGGGCGTAGGCGAGGCGCTTGTGCAAAACCCCGCGCTTCGCGCGGGGTTTTGCGGCACGCGCCTCGCGGGAAGTCTACGGGCGATGGGTTCTGGGCTCGTAACTTAATCCTATTTCAATTATCGCTGTAATGGGTTATCTGGCTTCCTCCGTAGCAGGAAAAATCTCAACAGATGCCATAGGTAAGGAGCTAAAACAAACGATCATAACTTTGTCAAATCAAGTCAGATTTCGTTGATTTTGGTGTCATTCGACTCAGCTCGATGAGCTCTTTCGAATGAGGTATAATTTGCATTTTCGAATTTTTCACCCCAAAAAAGTGCTTGGTCCCCCTATGGTTTTTCGATTTTCGCGGACCTATATCTCAGCACTCTATGAGTCCACACAAAAATTTTTTCAGCATTCGACATAACTCGACGAGCTCTTTCGAATGACATATAATTTGACCTATTTCGGATCTGTTCGTTTTCCGAAATTATACCCAGTCGATAAGGAGACCATATTCTGGTCTTTGGTCGTGAAACTTTTCAAGGTTTTTTAATTTAGGGAAATTTTTGGAAAAATTTTTTTGGAAATTTTCTTTTTAGGAAAATTTTTGTTTTGAATTTCAGAATGGTCCCTTTTGATGGTCGATGGACCATTCTTTATAATCAGAATATTTAAATAATAAGCTTGGCGCCTAATCGGTAGTCGGCCCGCGCCTAATCGGGCGTGTCCCGCTACAAGATATGGCTAGTTGATATTTTCTCGAAGGTTGACGAAAAAAATTTTGGTAAACTGAATTTAGCATTTTGTTATTTTAGACAAGGAAATATTCAAATTCTTAACACTCTCCAAAACTTTCTTTTCTCTATTCTTATGTAGCCGATTCTAATTGTCAGAATACATAGTTAAAAAAATATTTTTTAAAACATTCATTTTCATTTTAATGTTGATTTTTAATACTTTTAAATTTTTTAGATTTAATTAGTTAAATTCAATCAATTTTAATTCGAAGAATTAAGAATGTTCACTACAAGAAATATGGAAGAATTAAGCCGACAAATTGAGGCTATGCCGGTTAAACTTTAATACTTTTTGGTATTTACGTATTACGTCTGTCAACACTTTTAATTGGCGAGATTGGAGATATGAAAAACTTGCAATGATAAGCGAAAGTTCGTCAAGATGAGTTGATTGACACAGACCATATTGATTCGATGATTCAAACAAAATTATGACCAAATGAAAATGCTTGAAGAAACCCTGTATTGATTTATTTTCAAGGCGCCGTCGTATCATCCTCGACATAATTATATGCCACATGGTATAGGTAAAACAGCTGGTCATGATTTTGTTCAATCGTTGAATTTGGTCATACAAGTTTTTTTTATCTAATTAGTTAAAAAAGTGTTGACAGATAATACGTAGGTACATTATTTTTTAAATTTATCAACATTAATAAGCAGAAAAATCCTAGGATTTTCCTAGGATTAGTTATTGTTCAGGAATGGGTCACGGATGTTTGCGTTTTACATTTCGGAATTTTGGTCTCCAAAGGCTCTAAGTGAAAAAAGCGGAATATTGGGCTCTAAATTGTTTGGTCCGATTCAGTGGAATTTTATAAAGAAATCCGGTAATAGTTAAGTTTATGTTTTCCCTTTTTTCTTTCGGCTGTAGTGTAGTGTACCAAGGTAAAAGTTCGTGACGTGTCATGTCATTCGATTCGTCTCGATGAGCTGAGTCGATGGTACCACTCCCAACTGCAGGAAATGATTCTGGACTGAGTTATATTATACCAAAATCGACCTGGCTAAAGTACACTTTACCGGGGGATTTTAGATTTTTATGATTTATATGTCAATCGAAAGAGCTCGTCAAGCTGAGTCGAATGACACCAAAATTAGTCCGCGGACTCAACTATGGACCGAGATATGGGTCCCCAAAAATCGAAAAACCATAGGGGGGACCAAGCATTTTTTTGGGGTAAAAAATTCGAATATGCAAATTATACCTCATTCGAAAGAGCTCGTCGAGCTGAGTCGAATGACACCAAAATCAACGAAATCCGACTTAATTGGACAAAGTTATGATCTTTTATTTTAGCTCCTTACCTATGGCATCTGTGGAGATTTTTCCTGCTACGGAGGCCACAAATACGTCCAGAGCAAGGGAGATAGGAATAGGGGTAATCGTGAAGAATTGGGGATACACTTTTAAAAACCCTAAAACTTATTATTTTTTTCTGAAAATCATTTTATATAGGTAATCGACTATGCTGAACACGAATCCGATAAGATTTTGTCAAATATGACATTTTATCTATGATTTCTTATCATGTACTTGATTTCCAGCTAAGATTCTGTTGGTCATAACTTTGTTCAGAATCATTCAATCGAGCTCATTTTGATGCCATTCGACTCATCTCGACGAGCTCTTTCGAATGATGGGTCATTTGTATAATCGAATTTTTTGACCCAAAAAATTTTCAAATTTCGGGGGTCTGTAACTCGGCCGAATGAGGTCGAATTTCGTTGATTTCGGTGTCGTTCGACTCAGCTTGAGGAGCTCTTTCGAATGAGCTATAATTTGTATAATCGGATAATTTACCCCTAAATCGACCTTACTTCCCCCTATGGGTTTTCGATTTTCGGGTGCCTATATCTCTGCGAGTTTTCGTCCCCAGCAAAAAATTCTTGCATATTTGAACTCAGCATAGTCGATTACCTACATAAAATGATTTTCAGAAAAAAATAATAAGTTTTAAGGTTTTTAAAAGTGTATCCCCAATTCTTCACGATTACCGGAATAGGTTTATGTTACGAGCCCAGACCCAGCGCCCGTAGACTCCCCGCGAGGCGCGTGCCTCAAAACCCAGCGCGAAGCGCTGGGTTTTGCACAAGCGCCTCGCCGACGCTCCATAGGTTTAGGTTTTTTGTTTTTGTGTCATAACTTTGTCTAATCTTGTTCAATCACGGTGATATTGGTGTCATTCGACTCAGCTCGAGGAGCTCTTTCGAATGAGCTATTATTTGTAAAATCGAATTTTTCACCCCAAAATTGAGCTTACTCCCCCCTATGGTTTTTGACCATTTCGAGCCCTATATCTCGGCCCACAGTTGAGTCCGCGGGCTAATTTTGGTGTCATTCGACTCAGCTTGACGAGCTCTTTCGATTGACATATAAATTGTTCAAATCTAAAATCCCCCGGTAAAGTGTACTTAGGCCATCGACCTTAATCCCCCAATG